CCTAGTAGAGGTCTTATCCATAAGACAATTAATTAATTGCACTAATTAGCACATCCAGTAGTAATTTCAGCAAAACACTGAGGATTGAATGGGTCTGCAGGAGGAGCTGGCCTCACCTTCACCTGCTCTTTTAGAGAAGAATGGTGTTGCATAGATGGGGAAGCTTTGCGATACTACTGTATGTCTGCTGTGATTATACGCTGAAGCTTAGTCTAAGAGCTTTGCCTGCAATACCTTGTGCAAACTTTGACGTTAAAGTAAATAAACGCTAAAGCCGTGACCTGTGCTATTGTAGCAGCTGGTGACCAGCATGCTCCCTTTTCCATTTCAGACAGTGCTTTACAGCACCTTGCTGAGCTAAGAAAATTAGACATATCATGTAACAAAGAGATTGGTGGTGGCTTTAAAGACTCAACAGCTCATTTGGCCAGCTTGAAAAACCTCGAAGTCCTTGATCTCCACCAGTGCTGTATAACAGAAGAGGACATGACCGTTTTGTGTAAGGACATGTTGAGGAAATCCATTAAGTATGCAGGTTTTGACTTCTGAAAATATCTCAAAGGCGTAAGAGATTCTGCCTCACCTAGTCTAGCAGATCTCAGTACATTTTCATTAGGCCGTTCTGGAAGTGCAGTGTGGAGAATAGCTTTCTTGATCAATGTGGAATGTTTTTTTGCTGTATCTAAGGAAATCTCATGGTGTCTGATCCCATGTGGAACTAAGGACCTGAATCTTCCATGATTCAGACCCATGATGTGAAAGTAGGAACTGCCACCAAGCACTGCTTTTTTTGATAATCAGTAATTTTGGAAACATCCAGAGCCAGTTCCCCCACTGGTATAAATTGGCATGGATCCAAGGTGCATATGTGCATGTAAATGTAACTGCCTAAAACTCCCTTAGTGAACTTTAAGTCAAGTAGAGAGTGATGTTAGGAGATCTTGCATTGCTGCTCTCTGTTTTATAGAAAAGCTGAGGACTATAGTCTCTAGTTTGAATTGATCCAACTCATAAATACTATTAGGAAGAAAAAGACATTTCCTATTCAATCAGTGAGACAGTTTATTCTTCTGTGTGCATTATCATAATTTTTGATATTGGTTTTTACTCTTTAAAACAACAACAACAAAAAATCCTATATTGCCCACATGTTGTTTTCCGTGATAAAGAAAATAATTTGAAAAGCTGCTGCTGACGCATTGGGAAATATTAACTGTTAGTAATAGCAATCATGATTTGTTTTTAATTTCTTGACCAATAGAGAATAATCACATTAATATGAAGGAGTTTCAGTTAGCAGTGCAGACATTTGGAAATAACCCGCATCTCATTTAATGTTAAATTCCCTACTTCACCTAGAAAATTTCAACAGGAAGCTGTGTTCTGACAACATTCCACACAGTATGTAATACTTAATTTCTTAAACATTCCTACTGAAAATGACAAGGCTATTTATGGAGTAAAACATTACTCACCATAAATTTGAGTGTCAAAACTTGGCCTTGACTTTTGGATTGATTTATAAAGAAAAGAAATGATGTCAGGCAAATATACAACTATATATTTGTTCTGGATCGGTGACTGTCTAATAAATATTTCATGTTTTCATAGCCCAGGTGATACCTTTACTCTCCAGTCTTCAAGAGCTGAATTTATCCTCAAATAAAAATGTAGGAGTCTCATCTGATCCTCTTCTGGGCAGGCTCAGGTTTTTACCGAAGTTGAAATCTGTGGCCATCAGCAATTGTGGTTTAGGCGAAGAGTCATTTTCATCACTAGGTAGGAATGTTTTTTTTTTTTTAAAGTGTGTCTATTCTCTGTGTATCCTTGTGGAACAAAGCACTTCATTCTCCTTTGGCTGAACTCCAGAGATCATGGTTACATTATACCACAGGTCCTGAGTGAAAAAGCCTGTAATGAAACCAGTGCTTCATGGGGACCTAGTTGCAAGGGAAGACCATTGTATGTCTTCCCCTAATATACCTGACTGGATAAAGTCCTTTTAGTCCTTTGTCTGATAGTGAGCTTTCGAATACTCCCTAATTCTGGAAGAGAAATCAAAACATGATTTCATATTATGCTGTAATTACAGTTTGGTTGTAACACTGCATTTGCAGTTTAGTGGGGTAAAGTTTTCGCTGAATGTTTTTCACCTCGCTGCAGGTGAAAGTTTCAGTAGAGTTAAGCATGGAGCAATGGAGGAACTGAGGAAATGACTGCAGTAGCGGACTAGATATTGCACAGCCATGAAGAAAAGTCCAATCTAACACAGGATATGTAAACTCAACCTCTTTTGCCTGCTTATTGCAAATCTCGGTGGATTAGCGGCTACACTGTCCCTTTGATAGGCGTTCCATATGGCACATGAAATCTAAGTACAGAGGGATCTGTTAGTTACTGTGTATTGTGCACTTATAATATATTTTGTATTATTTACTAGTGACATTGAAACCTATAGTAAAACTTGACTGCCTTCAGCAGAAGCAGTAGCAAGCTAAACTGGTCTGAAGTCCCTGCAGGCACAGTACTATATTTATATCACTACATTTATGTAAGAGTGACATCATGGAAATCGGTGTTGTCAAAAGATACAGAGCATTTCACCTTGCATGGTGAGTTCACAGCAAAAAATTGCTGTCTTTAAATTGATATAAAATGGTTTAAAAACAAGCTGTTACATTAAATTGACTTCAGTGGGACAAGGTTAAGCCAATAACATAAACAGAAAGACAAGAAACCCTTCCACAGAGTCCTTAAAGGTTCTATAGGCAGGCCCTTCCTATATTCTTTAAAGAGCACAGGAGATATTTTTTGTCAGACTTTTATTGGGATAAAATAAGTAATTCTAAGCACAAGTAGGCAGCCTGTTAGGAGCCTATTTACAGGTGAATTGCCGGTGAGGTGTCTATTGAGGCCATGTTGTTTTCTCTTAGTAAGCAGAAGTTGCTGGTCTTAATCTTTTCAGCTGAGGCTGCCCTTCACCTTCCTGAACTGGAGATATTAGACCTTTCTTGGAATAAGTGCGTTGGTGGGAACCTAAAGCTGCTTTTGGGAGCACTAAAGCTTGCAACGGAGATTCAAGTGTTAAGACTGAGCAGCTGTAACTTGGTGGCTGAAGATTTGGCACTTCTAAGTACGTATAACATGGTATTTACTAGCAGTCAAGGAGCCAGGGCATTTAGACCACAATTCAGAAGGGACTTGTTCCATGGGCTGAGCACGTTTTTGCATAAATCAAATGAAAAGATGGAAAATACAGCAGTATTTTTCCCAGAAAGGGTTTTCATTTTGCTGAAGACTGTGTGTCCTGTACATGCACAATGCAAAAGCTGAAAAGCATAAAAATGCAAAGAATCATTTTAGCAGAGTTTTATCTATTAATACAAAAAGACAGCACTTAGAAAAATGTAGGTTTTACGTCTGTTTTTTATATCAGATATTTAAAGCTGCCTCTGAGGAGTTTTATTTTGCTCGGTTGCTGGTTTTGGGTTCAGTAATTTATGGGAAATGTACGTGCTGACAGCCAGTAATACAGGCACTACCAGCTCTCAGTCCATTCGGTGTGTTTCTGGAGTCAAACTCTTATGGGAGAATTAAAACAGAAATATTTTAGCCCACCTCTTAGCAGCTGCTGAGAAATACTGGAAAATAGGAACCCAATGAAGGAATAAATTCTAGGATCCTTTTAAAAACCTGTTTATTTTATAATCATCCTTGTGATTCTGTGGGCCTGACTCATGGGTTTTGAGTGTCTGAGATTGGCAGTAGCTGTGTCACAGCTATTAAGGCCCTGTAATCTGAAGGCTGGTGAGACGAAGCCTGAATATTTTTGACTTTACAAAAATCACCCTTGATGGGTGTTTCTTTTGCCAATCATACATTAAGGATCATATTAGGCCCATTACCCTCCCACAGTGAGAGGTGGCTGTTGTAATCACGCAACCTCATCTAGTTTTGCTTTCCTCTTTCTAAATCTCCCTGTAAAGCCTGTCTGCCTATTTCAACTGGCACTTGATATAACCTCCTTCCAACTGACTCAAAGCTTTTCAGGTTGCCGTACAATTTTAACTGCGTACTTCTGTTCCTTTTGAATTGCCTGCATTTTAAATGTAAACTCCTTCAGCTGTGATAAAACAATCTTTCTGAGATCAATAGCAAGTGATTTTATGTTGCTGAGGAATTGAATCTTGCTCTTTGACTGCTGAAAGGCCTTAAATAATATGGTATTATTTAAAAAGCTTTTAAAGCAATTGCCAGGATGTATTAGTTGTGTTTGTGTCTGTCATTTCTTGCAGTGTTACTGACTCAGGACGGCCATCTAGCCAGATTACGGAAGCTGGATTTGAGTTATAATAACAACATCTCTGACGAAGGGTGGGTGGTTTTCTGTCAAGGCTTAGCAGTATTCAAAGAACTCTCAGAGCTGGATGTCAGTCTTCGCCCATTGTCCTGCCGAGACTGTGGGACATGGTTCAGTGAGTTGTTAGCAGCACTGACAAAGCTGCCTGCCTTGGCAGAGCTGGGGATGCAAAGATGGGTCCTTTCAGAATCGCAGCGGAAACAACTGGAAAGCTTTAATCAAGACAACAGAAGAAACATTCGTTTTGACTGTTGATGGAGGTTGAAGGCTTCTGGAAGGTCTTTCACAAGCAGCATGTGAACCAAGTATTATGTATCTCTGACTTAGAAGACTGGCTAATTTTTAGTAATCTCGTCTCATGAGAGCTCTTGAAATAGTTCCATAATTATATAAAACTGTTATTTAACCCTCTACATGCATAGATCATTCAATTTAATAACATATTCTTTCAGATTCTCTGGGCCATGCTTATACTCCTATGCTGATACTACTATGTATGCTTAATCTTCGTGTTGTGAATACAGCAATGACTACTGTCAAAAGAGCAATGATGATTTCAGATGGACATACTGAAGGTTTGCCGATGGAGGGAAGTGGCTGGGGTGTGTGCTAATGCAGATGGGTGGGCAGTGTGAATGTGGCCTCATGTATATACGGAAAATGCCTCTAATGTGGAAAATACTTGAAACCTCTGTGTGTTAAATTTTAGTTTCTTCTCCCCCAAAACTTTTGCCTCTTTGAATGCATTAAATCTGCATAATTGTGAGATTTGGAAAGCATCCCAACAACTCAGGATTATATATTAGTCCAGTAAGGAGAATACAGAAGGAACTGTTCTGCCTCTGCTCTGGCCCTTGATGCCATCTCATAGTGTAAATGCGAATCAGCATAAAATCAAGGTAAGAAACAGTTGATTGTCTTTGCAGGTCTCAGGCAAGGGAAATGCTGTGGTAGGTTAAATCAGAGATATGTACCTTAGCAAGGATTTTGGATACAGAGCAATCCATAAGCATTCTGGATAAGGCTATGCAAAAGACTTCAGGATACTTCAGGGATGCTCCTTCTCACCCTGAGCTGTTTCAGCCTTACCCAGAGTGTGCTTTCTGTACGGACCCTTTTATGACATGCAGCACAAAACCAAACTTCCAGATCTAAGAGTCTGATCTAGAGTGTATGAAAGCCAGTGAGAGTCCCCGCAGTGCCTTCATGCTTCCTGCATTCAGGATTAATCCATTAACCTTCACAACACCTTGTGATGTAGACAGTGTTCTTATCCTTACCCTAAAGATGAAGGAAATAAGCAAAGTCTATTATTCAAAGCCACAGGGCAGCTGCTAGCTAAGAAGAGAGCACCCTGCTCTGTGCCCAAGTCTTGTTAGAAAAAGCACCAACCTGGGTCATGTAAGTGGCTCCTCCTTTTATCATTTGATGATTTCTTATTTGGCATTTTGTTGTATTTGCTTACACAGAGCCAAATTCTGGCATAGTCACTTGTGTCATGGAGCATGTTAACCCACACGTGAGCTCAAAGACTGCAGTGGGATTATTCATTGGTAAGGTATTTTAGGAAGTAAAGATATTAAATCTGCGCACTGAGTGAGGAGTCTTAGAGAAATCCTGAGGCAGCTTGAGGGATAAAGTACTGCTCAATTAGCCCTGAGTATATCTACACGCTGCAGCAATCTCCTGGAGGAGAGGCACAACAGGATCATTCAGTGGCACTTTCCTAACTTGCTAGGACCCCTCTCAGCAAGTTCTCCTACGCAGATGCAGATCAATATTCAGCTTTCAGTCCAGGTGACCCTTCCAACTGGGATCAGGGTTATAACCCGCAGCTGGTACCTCTTGATCATTTAATCCATGATTTCATGTGAGGGTCTCTATGGACTTCCTGGTTCCAGTTTCAGTTCCACTTGAAAAGTGCGCTTGGCTCCCCCAGCTCAGAGAAATGTGAGATGAACTGGAGTGTCTTGGTCAGAGGTAGCAGGGAATTGCTGCTCTGTGGGATCATTTATTTTCTACAGAGATCCTCAACCTCTGAAATGAAGCAAAGAGCCCGGGTTTCATACAGGGATAACAAGAGAGACTTTCAAGCAGTGACTCAGGCCAGGAGAGTTATTCTAATGTGGAAGTACCATCATCTCTGTTTAACAGCAGCACACCAACCTCTTCTCTTAATCACTTGCCTTCCTGTTAGTTTTCTCCTCAAACCTGCCTTTGGTCCAACTGGGAAATTGATCCTTTATCTGTTCTATGAGAATCCCTGTGAATCACTCTTTTCCCACTTGAACCTCTCTCTCTAATTCAGTAAAGCAATTGGCCCATGTTTAATGTCCAGTATCTGTTGCAATCTTACTGACTGAATTGGACTTCAGTGTTGGGATTTCTTACTTTGTCATAGTTGGGTTCCTCATTCTCAGCTCCAGAGCACAGCAACCTCTCCACTTGCTGTTCATGATCCCCTTCTCAGTCCTTTGCCCTCTCATGGTTCTGTCATACCTATTGTGCCACCAAAAAGCTTTTATTAAATCAGTTCTATTAAATGTCCTGTCTATCTGCCAATCTTCCCGGAAATCTCTCTCTTCCAGTGATTGCCTCCTCGGTAGTCTCTGAATCATCCTTCTTTCTGTTCCTCTTTGCCTTCACTTAGGGTGAAAAAATTTCGTAAGACACCTCCAAACAATCAAAACAGCATCAGTTAGGTAGTAAAATGGAAAACCCAAACTGAGCCATCCCACTTTTCTGCACTATCAGGTCTCTCCTGCCAACAAGCATATTAATGAGGTTTCAGTGTCAATTGATTCAAGAGCCAAACGGAAATACGATCCATACTCTGGACGCAGATGTAGCCGCAGCATTCAGAGAGCACTACCTGGAGGTGGAGCTCTAGGAAGAGCTGGGTCTTAGTGACCCTGCCTTCACCACCACGACTTCTGAGGCAACTCAGACAAGGGGAGAGAGAGCAGGACTGCAGTTCCGAGCAGCCAATTAAACTAAATAAAGGTTCTGCTCCCACCCACTTGTGCATTTTGAATCTGCACAGTGGTCCCAGTCCAGCTCTGTGCTTTATGTATGCTGCAGATAAAACTCTGGAGGGGTTTAAGAAGTAACTGAGCAATATAAAATAAAAACTAGACAAGGACATCAGATGCCTAGGACAAACAGCTATTTGTAAAGTACTGTGAAAGACATGGCTGCATATAAATTTGGCATGCTAGAATTATAGTAAGGAGTGTTTGTCATGATTCTTTTGAATAACATAGATGTTATGACATGCCAGGACCCAGAATCATTGCAGAATATTGCATTCTGCAGACTCTCTGCTTTCAAATAAGCCTGTCGTACACAGACATTTTACAAACTTGTCACCAAGGTATCTCAGAGATGAGCGATAACACTAAGGATTTGACAGCTTGCAGTCATTCAAAATACTATAACTACGGATTGTCAAAACATCAGTGAACAGTTTTACAGAAGTGTAGAGATACTTACAAAACAGCTTTTTACAGCTCTGTAAGACAGGATGGTAATGCAGGTTCTGGTAGAAGTACATATGTTCTGACTGCCTGGAATCCTCCTCCATATTTCCAAACAAGGTATTGATCATTTCTGAATGTAAAACTCATTAAATAACTGCTAGTAGGTGGGGCCACAAGTACTGTTTCACTCTAGATATGGCGTACCTCACTGACTGGAAAACAGATTTCTAAGAATTGCACGTAAAATATTTTTGGATTCAGAACAAAGAACACTTCATTGCACCAGATTCCTACAGATTAGATTAATATCCAGTTAATCAGCTGCCTTTATGCTTTGAGATAACATACATTCAGAATGAGACATCTCAAGAGTATTTTGGAATCTGCCTGATTCAGCTGGAGTCAATGTTGACAAAAACACAAAACCAAACCTCAACACACAAAAGCAAACAGCTGCAGCACAAAGAACAGGAATGATGGGGAACATTCCTGCGAGCTCCCCATAAACAGCATATGGATGAGGCACAAACAATTCAGTCTGTGCATGTAATGAATGTGTGTATTGAACATCTCACCAGAGCGTTTAAAATTCAAAGTATCTTCTCCCAAATACAGAAGGATGGGACTCAGGCTCTCCTAGGAAAGCATTTACTTCACTAGGTGAAGACTATTCACCTGGCAGCCAGGTGGCCAAATCCAGCTTTCAGAAGTCCTGCTAATTGGCACACCAACAGTGCTAGTGAACTAAGCTGCACAGAAATGCAATGAACTGGGGAAGATGGAAAGACTGGGCTGGGGAGCACCCCCAGAGAGCTGGTTCCTTACCACCCCCCTGGAATCACTGGTGCTGACCCAGTGAGTCTCCTCACTTTGGGGGGTCTGCTTGGAGCTGAGCTCTGGGAAACACCCTTTTCCTTGGACTCCTGAGGCTGAGACGGGTCACAGGGGAGGACCTCCTCTCCACCTGGCTTGGGCACAGCGCTTCCCCCACCCTCCCAGTTCCTAACTTTTATCCTATTTGGCTCCCTTACAATTACAGGATGAGCCCTGAACGATGCACTGCGTTCCTTCCTTCCCTTCTCTCCCTCCTTCTTCCAAAATGCTTACTGGTACTTGTGTCCTTAAGGCCACAAACGCAAAGACTATTTTTCACCTTGTATTTGGCATACAGAGTCTGGGAGCTGTTTAAGGAGGTTGTTGCGACAGTCAAGTATTTTCAAATGGGTCAAGGAGCTGATGGCTGCGGGCAGGTACTCCAGACAATTATTCTCCATATGCAGTTCTTTCAGATTCTGGAAAATATATGTGCATAACTTTTAATAATTAAAGGATTTTTCCTTAGCTTGATATAGAATCAATGTACAGAGAATATCAGTAAGTGCAGAAGTAAGGTTTATAAACTGAGCTACCATTGGGATGACTACTAAACACAGAGAGACAATGTGACTTTCAAACAGTGAGTTTTGATATTATTTCTATTCTGATAGCCCTGGCCTGATACTGCACCATGTACCTAAAGAGATTAGGAGAACCTTCAGTCCTGCATTTGGTAGCAGCTGAAGTCCACGGAAGTGCCATGCCACAGCAGACCAAGATGTCCCCCTTCTATTGCTCCTACCTGCAATTTGCTGATGTCTTCTGGCTGACTTGTGAATTTAATTCCTTTATCTTGTCCCGGGTATAATCTCTCTAATGACTCTGGAGAAAGATTTCCTTTGGAAAGATACTGAATTGTTTTTCAGATAAGTTAAGGCATTTCAAATTTGTCAGTTTTTTCACCTCTGCAGGTATCTAGACACAGTCATTAAAAAGATACATTAAGTCAATTAAACAGTAATCTTTGGGATTTTGTTTTTAGGGAAAAATCTCCAAGAAAATGCTGTGGAGTTGTATTACTATTGATAGATGAACACAGAATATTCTGCTCATTAATATAACATTATACCTCACAGTATGGTGGAAATTTTGGCAAAAAAATCCATGTTGTTTCCTCTGCTGAAAAGATTTCTTATGGGTTAATTTTATTTCTTAGCAGAAACACTAGTCTGCTTCTTCATTTCCTTTGTATGCACAGTGCAGGGGAGAGTAATTTAAATGAATGAAATCTGAAACTGATTCTTTTGCATAAATTACTACTTCTGTAAATGTAACCTTCAAGAAGAAAATTGCACAAGTGAAAATCCCTTGGAAAACAAGCATTGCATTATATAAAACGGAAGGTGTATTCTGAGCCCTAAAACGAGTATGTCCATGAATACTTACATATGAATGTTACACTTAAAATAGCACAGCTTTAGGGTACATAATTGTTCATTATCAAATGAACAGCAAATGTGAATGGTGCTAAAGGCATTAACAATATCACACCCATTTTTAAATTGCCCTCTGCTCTGTTTCAGTTTGTGACGTATTGATTCTATCCAAATGCAGCTCTTACTTTCCAGTGTACACAGAAAAAAAGATGCAAAAAGACTGAAGCAGTCCTTCCAGTCAGTATTTCATCTTTACGATGCAACACAAAGGTCAGTGTTTCCATGTTCTTGCTTTTTTCTCCCTGCCTGAATACTCAGATGTCAGTGATAATGAGTAACCCAGGCTCAGGTGCATACCAGGTGGAACGTGCCTTAGGGAAAGGTGGCACTCAGTTGTAAAGAAGAACTTAGATTTTGCAAAAGGGAGGTATCAATAAAATAAAAATGAAAACAAAGGAACAAATACCTCCTGTATCCGATTGCCATCCAGGGCCAATACTTCCAGATTTTTCATAGTGCATATTCCTTTAGGAATCTCATCAAAGCAATTTTCACTCAGATCTAGTATCCTTATGCCGGTTAACCTGGGTACTGTGCACAGTCCGGTGTTCCTCAAATAAACACGGGAAAGGGACGGCCAGCAGCAGATCTGGTGTGGGAACTTCTTCAGGCTGTTAGCAGACAGTCTGAATACCCTCATTTCAGTGAGATTCTTCAAACCTGGGGGAAGCTTTTGCGGGAGATTATGAGACAGATCCAGCACAGCCAGCTTCTGGCAGTGTTGCAGTGTAGGAGGAATGGAGGATAAGTTATTAAAAGCTAAAAATAGCTTAACTAAGTTTTTCAAAAAGCCTACCTCTTCTGGATGAGACTGATTAGATTTTGTTCCAGATCTATTCTTTCTAAATTAGCAATATGGCAAAGCTCCTTGGGAAAACTTTAAAATCTATTTTTCTGGAGGTAAATTTCCTTGAGTTTTGTCAGGTTCACTATTTCTTTAGGCAGACACTTGAGATTATTATCAGAAAGGCCAAGCAGTTCAACACAATGGAGGTATTCACAGATCCGCACTGGGATTTTGTGCAAGTTTGTTTTATAGAGCCTGAGCTGACGAAGGGACTGCAACTTGCTGATAACTGTCAGCGAACTACAAGAGAGGGGATTGTTACTTAAATCTAAGCTCAGAAGACATTTCAGCTCCCCCAGTTCTTCGCATATGTCCTGTATGTGATTCTGATCCAAGTAGAGGACCTTCATATGCCTCAGGTGATTGATGACTCTGGGGATGCTTACAATCAGGTTCTTTTCAATGTGCAACTCTTCCAGATATTCTAGACTCAAGACCCCTGGTGAGATGGTTCACGGTTACTTGTTGGCTAAATCAGTGAAAAATATCCTGTCTGTGACACATGTGGGAGAAAGAGCTTCATTCTCTGGCACTTCATTCACTGGTATTTCTTGTGCAGTCTGATCATGGTCATCCTCAAAACCAACGGTTAGCTTTGGGGCAATGAGTGCCCCCTGCGCTGGCTGCCTGGCTCTGCTGAGACTCAGCCATCTCTGCTCCTTATTTTTAATTTCAGAAGAGAAAAAAATTAAAAATAAACAGTACTCAGAGACCTGTCTATGCTGAATAAATACTGGCAGAATTCAGCATTTAGGGACAGGTTCTAGTCTCAGTTGTACCCCTGCAAAAAGCTGCTTGTGTTCATTGAGATCAAATCCTGCAGTACGTACAGCAGGACCATATATTTGAATTCCAGTGCATCCTGAAGTGCCCCAACAGCCAAATTCAGAGGGTGACCTTGTGAAGTCAGGGGAGCTGGACGAAGAAGCCTCCTTGAGTCTTCAAGGACTACATTTACAAACACTGACTGAGATCTGTCTTCAGCTTGTAAAATGGGAAGAGTCCTATTGTAAAAAGGTGGGACCTTCTTCTGTAACACTTCATGGTTTCTGAGCCAGAGAGATGCCAGTGAGTCTGATATTTGATAACCCTCAAAGTTCTACTGTTGCTGATCGCGAAAGAGCGAGAGGTGGGAAGGGGTGACTGCCTGAGCAACCTCTGATGTCTGGATGGAAGAAACCTTTCAGCTGGCATTTAAGGAATGATAAGAGAGAAAGTGGAGGTCAAGAGGCAGCTGCCAGTTGTCTCCCACCTGACGCCCTTTTCTCTTCTGCTGTAGCCGCGCTGGGAGGACATCATGCTTCCAGAGATGAGTAGTTTCCAGGTGCCGCCAGGACAAGGAGGAAGAACTGAGTGACCACCACGGGGAGAGACCCATGCTGGGCTTCCCAGTCTAATTCAGATCTTGCACGAGGGTATTTTCATTTTTATTGGCTCAGGGTTCAGTACTCGGGTGTGAGCCCCACACACCGTGGGACGGGAAAGCGTGCGATCCCAGCCCACCCCTCCTTCGCGCAAGGGCAGTAGTGAAGCTGGTAGAAGGATTTATTCGGTGGAAAGGACCGGCACAGGCACCTTTGAAGTAACTGCTAATCTGTGTAACCACGGAAATTTTTGCAAAGCTCCTTGGAGACCACGGGTAGACCACTAAGTAAATACTCTGGGGGTGAGCTGCCAAAACTCCCCTCCCCGCAGAGGCTGGGCACCACAGATGCGGCCAGGCCTCCGCCGTGGGGGGGGCCCAGCACCCCACGGAGGTGGGGCTGCGGTGGGGCCTCCTGCCAGCGTCCTGGGCTGGGCCTGGCTACCTTCGCCCGCTCCCTCTCGGAAACGGGCTCCATTACCAAACATTATTAACCTTGGAGCAGCCTGGCTCGGCCGTGGGGCAGAGCTCGCCCTTGGGCCGGCCACCGCGGGTTGACGCAGGGAGAGGGTGCAGGCGTTGATCGGCCAGGTAGGCCTGCAGAGGTTGGGGGCCCAGCTGCTTTCCAGGGAAAAACGACCTGCCTGTATGAATATTAATTCTCTGTTAGCTCAGATCCTGTGCGACGGCGGATTAGAAACGCATCCACAGATCCACATTTTTCCCTCATGCTTCTCCTGTCTGTCTGTATCTATCTGTTATTCTTGTGTTGCATACCAAGAATTGTAACCCTTTTCAGCCCAAACCCATTTTTATTGTTATGCAGAGCCTAGCACAACAGTGCTTGGGTCCATGGTGATGTTGCTAGGCTGCCTTAACGATGCAGTAACACTTCGTTTTGTTTTCCAGCAGGTCATGTCAGTTCATCCAGATCTTCACCAGCACTATGTGCAGGCCTGCCAAAACTTGGGCCAACCTGAAAACCCCTTCATTGCTCGTGTGCTTCAAGAAGCCGGTAAAAACGATAAAATGTAAGGAAATAACAAACAGCGTGTTTCAGATGCTTCTGAAAGCCTTAAACGAGATAGCAGGACAGGGAATTGAACATTGAGAAAGTTCATGCAGTTTCAGGCTTAAACACAAATCACATTTAGCATTTACTGCTGAAGTTCTGGTTTGACTCATCTTGACATCATCTTGGCAGAAGTTTGTATCTACATATCCCTTCTGGGCAGCTTTACAAGCAGTGAAATCAAAAAAAGTGAGAAATGTACAGGATGGTGCCTTTGTGTCCGTTAAAGAAGCCAAACCCAGTGTCTAGTCATCCTAACTCTTGTCCTTTTGTCTTGCTCCTGTTTAAAAAGCCTCAGCTGCATCCAGTTAGCTTCCAGCTGGTAACGCTTCCTTGAACTGTCTCTGAATCCTGCCAAGGTATTAACCACCCAAATTCTCACTATGTGGCTAGGTAGGGCTTCCTCTCATGGATGCTCCTGGGGTCAAACTTAATTGTCCTTTGGAGAGAAAAATCTGAGAAAATACAGTGTAGTGCAATGGTTTGTGTTAGGTTTTGATCCTGAGGGCATGATAGAGTAAATAAAGGAAAAGGAACAAGTAAAAAGGAGATGATGAGGTAACCTCCAGGATAGCCTTTATTTCCATCTGCCTTCCCCTCATCTTGCTTCTTCCTGCTTTCTGTGCTTGTGTGCTAGGCGTGGTCTTGCAGCTGTGCGGTGTCTTCAGAATATCAAAAAGGAGAGTGCTGAGCTTGAATCACGTTATGGTCAAACACTGTCACGGTGTTACCAAAGGTAGCAGCAGCAGCTAACTGCATGCAAACACATTAGCGAGGGCAAGCATGGATACACTTCTTATCTGGAGAGAGAATTCGTTTTTCTGTATCATTTTACTTCTCCCCCTGTGCTTACATTTTTATGTTACAGCAGATGGACAGAAGGGATCACATTAAAAATAGCTGGAAATAATCATCTAGTGCCTGTGCAGAGACTTACAGATGACGATCTGCAAGTTCTTGCCTCTGTCTTACGCAATAGTGTATTTGTCACAGGTAAGCTTTTTTTCATGTATGTTTGACATTGCTGTGCTAATGTAAGAAAATATAAGCAGTCTTGATTTCAGCCTTAGTTCATCTTCATTTCTTTTTGTTTAGAGATCAGTTAATTGTAGATACGCATCTGTCACATTCTTCATTCTTCATCTTTTTCAGGTTTGGATCTTAGGTATAACGTATTGACTGATGCTGGAGCAAAGCACATGGCAACATTCCTCCAGGTGCCAAAATGATGTTTATCATTCAGCAACTTGTAATTTATTCGGCTATGATAATATTTATCTGTGGTAAATTGGAGACAAGAATGCATTGGTTTGGCAAAATTCCATTCATTTTGACTTTCACATCCAAATTTCTCCCACCAGAATCTCAGATTGTATTCTCTGGGGAGATTTTTAATTTCTGGTAGAAAACCGTTGGATGTTTGGCTAGGATGTCATGAAGAAGGAACAGTGGAATAAACTGTGGGGCTTTTAGGCTTACAGTTCAATTCAACAAAGGAGGTAATGGTAGCGTCAAGTGTGCCAGGGCCTTTGTTTTAGATACTTTATCATCTCTGTTAGTCTTTTTGAGGGTCTAAACATGGGAAACTTTAATGCTGCCTTTCTGTCATTGTAGTGCACACTCAGTGCCTGTGTTCCTGGAGCTCAGGGAGGGCCATTAAGTTCACAAAATGCCTGAAAGTCTGTATATGAGCTTGACTACCTGCCTCATTTGGTCATGCTGAACATGAGTTCCTAGGTGGTTTCTGTAAGCCCCATGAGGACCTACACACTACATGTTCTTCTGCCTTTCCATCATCATCTGCCAAATACTTTGGCATTCTTTAACTGCTTCTCCAAATCAGGGGCTGCCTGAAATGCAGTGAATGACAGAGTTTTTAAGTACGTGTACGACGTGTCTCCTTTTTGAAAAATGCAGGCATGCTTGGAAAAAAGTCCCATTGCTTTCTGCTTTGTTTGTTCCTAAGGAAAACTCCACTCTGCGGTACCTTAACCTGATGTTTAATGATATTGGCTCAGGTGGAGCAGAGCTGATAGCAAGAGCACTCCATGTGAGTATTTGTCTGGGAGATTTAGACAATGACATCTAGTTTGATATTTTTGCTTTTGATGAACAGTACTAGCTGTCCTGCCAACATCAGAGCTGGCTGAAAGAGCCCTCTGTCTTCAGTCCATTCAGCATTTTGCTGTATCACAGGGATTGCTTGTTTTCCCAAGGCAGACTTCAGAAATCAGATTTCACACAAGAGAAAGTTGCACTGTGCTGCTATTAACACTTAATTATCACAACTATCACAGCTGGATTTTTCTGTGTGAAAAATGCTATGCTATGCTATAGGACATATAATGCCATTAGTTTTTTCCTTTTTTTTTTTTTTTTAAAAAATTGTATTGAATTTGCCTGTACTTTGATGTCAATATTTGTCTTGATTCAGGATGTCTGAGACATGTTTTCAAAACTTTGCCTTACAGCAGCAGCATAAAACCATGTTTATTATTTTTAATGTGGTTTCCCAAGGAAATGAGGCTTGCGTGTAAGATTTGTTGTGTTTATGAAATGAGACTCACGCGAGCTCTTTCTTTCTCCTTCATAGTCTTTGTACTCTGAACAGATTTCAACTAAATTTGACAGGCCTCCAAAATGCTAAGGTTGTACAGTAGGTTGTACAACACTGGGCTTGCAAGCAACCCCCAAAGCTATTCGTGCAGCCCCGTGGCAGCGTTCGCTGGGTTTGCAGAGCAGGCGGTGGCAGGACCTGACCAGCCAGGCAGCCCCTTGGCTGCATGGGCTCCCGCTGCCGGGCCAGGCAGGGGGGGATCCGGTGGTGCAGGGGGTGTGCTACTGAGGGAGGGAGAGGCAAAGAGATGCTGTAGCGAGATACCACAGCAGGGGAAGGCGTACTGGGGACAGGTGGAAGACATAAAAGCCATGTGAAACCAGGCTTCATTAGTTCTGCTGCTCACAGAACTACTTGTTTTGTAATCACTTAATAAATCATAATCTCAGGTAATGAGTGATTACAATGGTACTGAGGAATTAAAAGTACAAAACTACTCTGCATTGCATTTCGGGCTTTAACAGTGAATACATATTTCGTATCTATTGAAATTCTGTTGAGGGTGAGGGGAAAGATGCTGGCTTTTTTAGACCACTGATCAGAACTTTATATTGCCAGTAAGTCTCCAGTCCAGCAAAGACTTACACACTGGTTTGACT